GAGAGAGAGAGAGAGAGAGAGAGAGAGAGAGAGAGAGAGAGAGAGAGAGAGAGAGAGAGAGAGAGAGATGCACACACACCTTCCATTGACGGTTCTTCTCCTTCTCAATGATATCCCATATCTCTGGGTCGAGCTCGGAGAGGGGGGTATTCAGCTGTCTGGGCCACTGAATATGCACAGTGAAATTGAGTAAATGGCAAATTACTAGAATTAGTAAATTGAACTAAATTACAAAATCCAAGCGACCACCTTCAGAAGAACGAATTGCCGTCCACAAACAGTGCATGGTCACCATCCTCATTTCACAATCTCCAATCACTGTCGTCATCATCATCGTCATCATCATTATCATCAATGGTGTCATCGTCATTCTCACACAAGTCGTTAGCAGTGAGCCTCCCTTTTCATTCCATAGGTTAACCCCTCATGCCCTGAAATAGGCAATTGGAGATGATTCTGTGGTTTACTAACCATCTGTCCATTGTCACCAATCGATCTCATCACCCTCACCACCATCATCATCATCATCGCCATCGTCGTCGTCATCATCATCACAATAACTCATTAAGTCTTGTGACTCTCAAGACCATTCGCTACATCGGATAAGATCACAATGACACACAGAACATTAGCTTGGGTCCTGCACATGGACAACACTCACGAGTCGGGAAATGATCTGATTTAAGGAAGAGGACAAGGGCAAGGCAAAGGAGGCAAAGGAGGCAACCGAGGCAAAGGAGGCAAACGAGACAAGCGAGGCAAACGAGGCAAATGAGGCAAATGAGGCAAACCAGGCAAACCAGGCAAACCAGGCAAACCAGGCAAAGGAAGCAAAGGAAAAGGAGGAGGAAGAGGGGCAAGAGGAGGAGGAGGAGGAGGAGGAGGAGAAGGAGAAGTAGAAGCTGTTTTCAGCACACTGGCGCTTGAAGTGGCTACAGCAATGATGAAGAGCCAGGTGATGGAGAGAGATGTCACCATCCTCCAACCAAAGGAGTTTGCTCAACAAGCTCTTTAGAAATACAAGCATATGCACGAGCTTGCTTGAACACGCGATCATGGTCGATGCGAGGAGTTCTGCTCAACAAGCTCTTTACATCTACAAGCGTATGCACAAGCTTGCTTGAACACGCTCTCATGATCGATGCAAGGAGTTTTGCTCAACAAGCTCTTTACATCTGCGCACATGCCCACGAGCTTCTTGACCAGGCTATCACGAGTGGTCCACAGCCGGTAAAGTGTAGTGACGATGATGAAACAAGCTCTTGTAAATCAACAATGACTGGGACAGAGGCAACTAGGCCCTTAGAAAGCATTCGAATGAACTTCAATAAAGCATACTGCTGTGCTTTTACTGTGCACAATAGATTGTAGTCTTGACCCTAAGGTAATAATTTGATCAAATGATCAAACTTGATTCCCCCCCAACCCCAGAACAAACAGACAAAAAGAACATATTATGATATTAGCTAAATGCCATGAGCCTTTTCTGACTATTACTATTGCCAGATGACACACATCACAAAAGCCATGGTAATCGGAATGATGATGATGATGATGATGATGATGATGATGATGATGATGATGATGACGATGATCACAGTGACAAGAGGAGGAGGAGGAGAAAGATGGTAATGATGGTGACCACCCTCCTTCTTCAGACCTTTCCCCTTCACCCAACCCCACATTTCCCTTGATACACTTCCACCCTTCTTAACATACGCCTGACAGTGAGTCAGAAGGAGTTCAACAGTAGTCTCCGACATCCCCCTTATATACACGTCACATCGCTGTTCTCAACCCCTTCTAACCTTCCATATCTGCACATCTATAGACATTGAAATAAGCAAGCTTCATGTACTGATTTTTTTTTCTTTTTCTTTTTCTTTTTTTTTTTTTTTTTTTTTTTTTTTTTCCAACCGTCCAAACTCTGCTATCTTCCATTACTACTACTACTACTACCTCCTTCCCCACTTCCTCCCGATCGACCTTCCCTTCTACCCTCCCTGCCCCCTCCCCCTTTCTCCCCCCCGACCTTCTGTAAAACCCTTTCCTAGATCCACACCTGGGTGTCTGTCGTGATAGCATTCATGCAGCCATTGTCTGGGACATCTGCATCCCTGCTACCCTCTTTCCTCGAACACAACACACCCTGGTCATGAATGTATACAAGTTATATCTCCAATCCGATACCATCATGATGAAGGTGCGTTGCGTCCTGAGGAAGGCGGTATGCTTCCATGCATTCGTAATGGAATGCACAAATGTCAAATAACCAACAGTTGCATGCTGACATGTCAACTGCTGATTTGTATTTGTGGGTGGGAACAGTGACTGCTACATACCGTGGCATGAGACTTCTCCACACGCGAATATGCCTCCTCGTTTGTAACAGCCGACTGCAGCACAGGAAACACCGAAGAGACAGTCAAGATCAGTCAGTCGTGCCGAAGGATCCAGAAAGCATGTCCACCAGGAGCAGGAGCAGCAGGAGGAAGAAGAAGAGGAGGGCGGAGGACAAGTAGGGGGAGGTGGATTACACCCCCCCACAAACAATAGAGAAAGACAGGAGGCAAGCTATGTCCCACAGACAAGGAGGTGGAGAAGCAGGAGGAAGAGAAAGGAGCGGGAGAACAGATACCCGCTAAGAGACGTGTACATACGACTGACAAGACGGGGAAGTACCCCACTGAAGATATCAGAGATCGAGCGAGCCGAGGAGGAGAAGACATGATGCCAAGAACATGGGGCTCAAGGTCGGCCCGCGAGTGCTCCCGAACTTCGTGATGGTAGTTTCACACCGTAAAGCAATGTCCTTTTCTTTGGGAACAGAAAGAAACAGGATATTGCTCACCTTAGACATTACAACAGCAGTGTTGTGCGGTCTGGGAGGAGGCGAAAGTGGCGGGGTTGGAGAAGGCGGGGATGAAGAGGGAAACTCTGACCCATATATCATCATTTCATATCATAATCTGAAACCTTTGATCGTTAGAGCTTGTTCACATACACCTTTCATCAAGTTTCATGTCCTTTGTTACCAAAAAAAAAAAAAAAAAAAAAAAAAACACTGGAGTTCTGGAATTCACATCGAGATTCAAGGGCAAACGTGAAAGATCCATACGAAATTGAAAAGAAGAAAAACATTTCGAGTTGAAATGGATGGATGGGCAACATCTGACTGGTGCAGTGTGAAATTACTGCCCGTCCAGATGAAGGAAAACAACAGGGGCTGTAATCTGAGGACGCCGGTTGGTATCCGTGCGTGCACGGACGAGGTCCAATACACAAGCCCGGAAACAGCCTGGAAATTATACCAGGAATGTGGTGGCCGTTGGGTGTCACACCCCACTTGTGGAAGCTGTGGATATTGTGGAGGGGGCTGTGTGCCCTTGTGGTTCGAGTCCTGTGCTTGATGGAGCTAGTGTGCGACACGTGCCTGGGTGGTGTTGTGTGTGAGCGTGGAGTAAGATAAGGACACTACATCCATGCAGGGGTGCGGTGGATATCAGGACTGGTAAGGTTCCACTTTGAAAACTGTGGCATGGTTGTAGTGGTTAAACCACCAGTACCTTTCCCGCCTGGGAAAATAGCGGGCCTCGGGTAGGCGTCCGGCCTTCCAGAGGCCGAAACGACATGACGGCCGCCGATCAGATTTATCAAAGGCAGTCGTCGTCGGACCCGACCTCCATAGATTCAGGAGTTTGGGAAAACTGCCAGTTTTCCCTATTTTCCCACGCGGGAAAGGTACTAGTGGAAACTCGGCTCTTAAGGCTGACGACGCCGGTTTGAATCCGTGCATGTGCGGAGGAGGTCCCAGGCTGGCAATAGTACTGACTGTAATCGCACACTGCACCTCCCTTTTGAACTTGAGGCTGAATATATCGTATATATCGTCAAATAGAACTGCCCGGTAAACCGTAGGCAGAGAGGGAGATATAAATATATATATCAGCCTCCTGATGAGTCGGTGAAACTCCGACGAAACAGTTTGTCACAGCCCCTCGTTTGTTGTCCTCTTCTCTCTCTCTGCCTACGGTTTACCGGGCAGTTCTGTTTGTGACGATTTATATATATATCGTATATATATATATATATCGTCACAAATAGAACTGCCCGGTAAACCGTAGGCATACTGTCACAAAGTTGTCAGAGCGCAAAAGCGAATATTTTTTTTCATGATCGAAGGTGACCCCCCTCCACCTTCTCCCCCTCCTTGGGCAGGTGTCTAGGGCCGCAGGCCACAGGCTTTGCTTTGCTGGCCGTCTTTCTCGTACTTTGCATCTGTGTTCGTCTGTTCTTGGTTACAGTCTGCTTTAGTCTGAACTTGTGGCATGCTTGTCGGTGACTGATGTCCCCCAGAATAGATGAGGCGTGCGTGGTGCATTACAAAAAAAAAAAAAAAAAGTGAGAAATATTTTTTCATGATCACTTGGACCAATCCATGGTTGTCTATCTCAAAGACATACTTGCCTTTCATAAGAGCTTGTAAGAGCATGATGAGCATCTACCTGTAGTGCTAGGACTCCTTCAGAAGCACCTGTACAAGAGTAACATGGAGAAGTGTGAGTCCCGTCGGCTAGCTCAGTAGGTTTCATGCCTGAGCGGCACCGCGTAGGTGCTGGGTTCTATTCCCGTTGCCGTCACTTTCAGTGGCCAGAGAAGGATTGGTGGCCACGGCCAGTCAACACTGCAAACTCGCTGGGGCGAGTTGTGCCGCCCTGTAACCCGTTGCAATGCGGGAGCATCGGGCCAAGTGGAAGTGGCTGCTCAGGTCCTGCTGCGGCCGGTCGGGACACACCCAATACATATCCAATAAAAGAGCTCTCAGGTTGAGTTCTCAGTCA